TCTTTATAACAGACCTTGTGGTGATGGAAATATTGAGATGTACAAATGCTGAGTGGAATCGAATGTTAATTTCGCGTTTAGAAGCTTCATGGATATTCAAATTTTTGACCCTTTGTAGGTTAGGTAACAGAAGGAGTGGACCGATATATTCAATTTGTCACACCAGACCTTGGGTTAATAAAAATATTGGGGTTTGTGTTATTTTACAGAGAATCGTATGCTTATTGCGGATTTTAAAATAGTTTTGGTTATTCAAAAATTCGACCCTTTTTGGGGAGGTAGCAGAAGGAAGGGTCCGACCTCTACCATCTCTATAGCAGATTTTGGGTTGATGGAAATATTGAGATGTACAAAGGCTGAATGGAATCGAATGTTTAGAAGCTTCAAAAATTCAAAATTTTGACCCTTTGTGGGGGAGGTACCAGAAGAAGGGGACCGATATATCCCATCTTCAGAGCATATCTTGTCTTAGTAGAAAAAATGGGATGTGTAAAATATGACGACAGCCGGATGCTTATTTCGGATTTTAGAATAGTTTTGGTTATTCAAAAATTTGATCCTTTGTGGGGGAGGTACCAGAAAAATTGGTGCGATCTCTGCCATCTTTATAGCAGATTTCGGGTTTATGTAAATATTGAGATGTACCAAGTCTGAATGGAATCGAATGTTAATTTCGAGTTATGAGCTTTATGGATATTTTAAATTTTGACCCTTTGTGGGGGAGGTACCAGAAGGAGTGGACCGATATATACCATTTTCCCATCAGACATTGGGTTAATACAACTATTGTGTTTTGTGTATTTTGAAGACAATCGGACTATTACATCACATTTTATAAGAGTTATAATTATTCAAAAATTTGACCCTTGGGGGGGTGCATGATGGAGTGCACCGATTTTGTCCGTTTTGGCACCTGATCTAGCACCGATAGGATTTGCAAAGTTGGAGCAAAATCGGAATATGTTTTCTCTTTTTGTGCAGTAAAATATTTTCTTTGGAAATTTCGACCTTTGGTAACTCCCCCAAGTACCAGGAGTGGACCGATATTACTCATCTCCGAACTTGATCTAAGTTTTACAATTATATTATGATGTACCAAGATTGCGCCAAATCCGATACTCTCTTCAAGAGTTATCGTGCGGACCACCAGCCAGACGAGCTGACGGACGGACACACATCGCTAGATCGACTCCAAATGTCCTGAAATGTATTTGGTTCCAAAATACCTAGGGTCTAACACGGCCGTATCAAATGAGATAGGGTATATCTCATTTGTTACGGCCAATACGTGCCTAGTCGAAATAATGGGTTTAGTCCCTAGGTATCTGGCTATGGCAGAGGGTATAAAAATATTAAAAATCCTCAATTATTCCTTGAAATATAGTCTTAAGAATCCTCTTTAATCCTGAGATTTTTTTTCAAAAATTCACGATTGTTGCTTTAAAAAAGATTTGTCCTCATTTGATATCCCTTTATATCTTCAAACATTTTCGTAAAGATTAGTTTTTAACTTTAATCTTCCCCCACTCCCTTCCAATTCTGTTATAAAGAATTGTTATTGTGCAAATGCTTTATTTCGGACGTGTAAAATCACTTAACAATTTCACCAGAGTACTTTGTAGACCCAATAACAGAGAAAAGCGTAACTTTCTATCCGACTGTAATGTTCGCAATTCTTCCGCCTCATTCGGACGAGACATTAGAAAGTTATTGTAACGCGCTAATTCACGTTCTAAATAAGGACTGCAACCAGGTTCCACCTCACCACGCAGTTCGGCGGATATGGCCTCCAAGAGTTCCAAAATATCTTTACGCAGTTCTTCTTTATCTTCCGTTGCCTCGCTGTTATTTTCAGGTGAGGCATTAGATTTCAAGTTCTCTGCCGAAGGTTTGGGTAGAAATTTGGTCAATGCGGTAATTTGTGGTAACGGCGAGTCGCCGAGGGGTTGGTTTGATTTGTCACCTGTGACGCCACCTCCGCCTTTGCAAAGATCGATAAAGGAGCTAAGATTGGCACTGAAATTCTTACACAGTTCCGGTGGTAGATTTAAATCATTCATTAAATAATTGTTAAAAGAATTATCCTGGAGACGTTCCATCTTGTGTGGTATCGCCCTATCCAATCCGGCACTGGGTCGAACATTACAAATGCATGCATCGTGGACATTGCCAACTTGACATTGACAGGGTTTGGGAGGACACTGACATCTCCGGACATTACTACCACCACCTGTGGTGACGTTGTAGTACAGACTTGTGGAGCCCACTGTTATGTGACCTTGGGATTCTATTGCTTTCGAAAATAATAATGGAGAAAATATTAAAATATTTTACAAATTTGTAAAAATCAAAAAAAAAAAAAAAAAACTGAAGTCCCTTTTTGGTACCTGGAGAATTTCTATCTCTAAAGCTGTTGCTGGGACAATGAGAAATATGGGGAATTGTTTCTTGATTTCTTGAATTTATATCCCCAACTCTGTAATTTTCGCAATGAGAAAATTCTGGAGTTTGCTCCTGACCGCAAACAACACCACTATCCGAAATATCATCCATAACGGTATTATCTGCTGCAGCCAACATTGTCTGACATTGGGAATTTGGCTCAGCAGCGTCCGTTACCAACACTTCGTGGAAATCAACACTCGGTAATTTTCCCTCGCTGGGCGGTTCCCTGACAAATGGTCCATATAGCTTCCCCTCCACCAAGGCGGCACACAGGTGACTCATATAAACATTAACCCGACGCATTTCCAGAACACTCTCCGCCTCATACGTGCTCAGATAGTCCAACCACATGCGAGTCAATTGCAATTCCCTCGAGTCGTGTGAAAATACTTGCTCCGGCGATTTACAAACATCCAAAAGAAAGAGAAAGTCCTGCGGCAATCGTTCGAATTCCATGTTTTTTTTTCGCACACAATTTCTATTGAAAATAATTTTTTTCCAATTTTTGGAATGAAGAAAAATTGAAAGTTTGGAGCTGAAAAATTTGAAATAGAAAATGACAATTGCAAAAAAATTTGATAAGTGACTCTCAAAATTGTTTTGAAAATAATGCACTGAAAAAATTATTTGGAGCTTCATAAAAACCTTTTAAAGTTATTCTATTATTTAAAAGACAAAGATAGGACAAGACAGAGTTAAGATAAGGTAACCCTGTGAAAATACCTCTGTTGTTACGATATCATAACAACATAGTTACCAATGTTAACTGATTTAAACCGCTAAGGCAATATGCAAATTTTCGGAAAGGTCTATGGAATAGAATATTGCAGCCAAAATTTTGGATTTTTCAAATTTTTATTTGTTATCCGTTTCGGAAATTGTGGTTTTTATATTAACATGTCTTTGCCATGAGCTGTTACTCCATGTATTGCAGACACAAACCATTTGCTCAAAATGCATTTTGTCTGGTCTTTACCATTTAAGGTCTTTGTAAAAGACCTTCTAAGAGTTCTCTAAATCTGTGGAACAATCCTAGTTGGTCCTTAAAACCAATAGACATCTTAAAGGCCTTCAAACCTATGAATGTCCTTTAAATTTCCTTTGATTCTGCTGACGATGTCGTGAAGGTCTTCTATTCTATATAGAGAAGATCTCCTGAGGCTGATCTTTACTATAGAAGAGAAGGCATATTGGAGGCCTTCTCACATACAGAAGAACATTTCTCTTGAAGGTCTCCCTACCATGGAAGAGATGGCCTCAATAAGGTATTCTCTCTTGGTGAAGAGAAGGGTGTTTGAAGCTCTCTTCTCCCATTGGAGAGAATGTCTCTGAGATTATTTTCTCCCATATGAGAGAATACCACTGAGATTCTTCTCTCCCATAGCAGAAAATGCTTATGAGATTCTTCTCTTCCATGGAAGATGAGGTCTTTGATGTTCTTCTTATTTGCTTCTTTTGTCCCATAGAAGAGAAAGTGTCTGATCTTCTTCTGCAGAAGAGAGGGCCTCTTGAGATTCTTCTCTTCCATAGAAGAGAGGGTCTCTTGAAATCCTTAATCCACAGAAGGGAAGGTCTCTAAGGATTCTTCTGCCCCATAGAAGAGAAAGCCTCAAGAGACCTTCTCGTTTATGGAAAGGAAGACTCTCACGTATAAAGGAAGAGTCTTGATGACGGTCTTCTCACCTATGGAAGGAAAGACTTATTGAAGGTATCTTTGCTATGGAAGCCCTCTAGAAGGTCTTCTCTTCTATGGAAGGACTTTCAGAAGGTCTTCTCTGCTATAGAAGACCTCGAAATGGTCTTCTCTGCTATATAAGATCTCGAAAAAGTCTTCTCTGCTGTAAAAGACTCCGATGAGGTCTTCTCAGCTATAGAAAACATCGATAAGGTCTTCTCTGCTATAGAAGACCACGAGAGGGTCATCTCTGCTATGGAAGACCTCGACAAGGTCTTCTCGTTACAGAAGACCTCGAAAAAGTCTTCTCGCTATAGAAGATATCGAGAATGTCTCTCGCTTTAAAAGATCTCGAGAAGGACTTTTCTGTTATAGAAGACTTCGAAAAGGTCTTCTCTGCTATAGAAGACCTCGTGAAGGTCTTCTTCGCTGTAAAAGACTTTGAGATGGTTTTCACTGATGTAAAAGACCTCGATAAGGTCTTCTCTGCTATAGAAGACCACGAGAAGGTCTTCTCTGTTATAGAAGACCTTGAGAAGGACTTTTTTGCTATAGACGACCTCGAGAAGGGCATCTCTCCTATAGAAGACCTCAAGAAGAAGTTCTCTGCTATAGAATATCTCGAGAAGGTCTTCTCTGCAATAGAAGACCTCGAAAAGGTCTTGTGTGCTATAGAAGACCTCGAAAAGGTCTTCTCTGCTATAGAAAGCTTCGTGAAAGTCTTTACTGCTGTAGAAGACCTCGAAAATGTCTTAAATAGAAGACCTTCTGTGGTTCTCTACTTTTCAAGAATTGAAGGTCACTCTTAAGTGGTTTATCCTATAAACCCCCTATAAAATCAAATTATTAATAATTTATTCTACATTCTTTGTCTTTCCAGGACGCTCTAATAAATTGGAACGCCAGAATACCAACAACGATGTTACCGACAATTCCAGCACCCCAAATCACATAACCTCGCCACAACGTTCATCATCGTCGTCGGCGTCGGCATCCAAACGTATCTCCAGTATTTCACTGAACATGCCGGCAGCGGGGTTGGGATCGCGACCAGCCAGCATTGTTTCATCGACAACGAGTTTTGACGAGGGAGGTTTCAATGAACCTTCTCCCGAAATTAAGGCCAAGCTTAGGCCGGCCTATGAATATGATAGTCCAAAGCAACAAATAAATCGTGGGCAACAACAAAGTCCCACCACCACCACCAAAATGCCAAAGTCCATGAACTCCGATACAAATGCCGGCGATGATGAGACATATACCATTGAAGATCTGGATGAAGCTGAGACACCGAGCCTGAACTATGTCGATGTCGGCTATCGTCTGAAACCCGATGGCAGTGAGTCCCGTGAAGTATTTGGTGAATCGGAACTTTACGATACGGCAGCCAAAGTCACAGATATGCATAAGAAATTCCATGCCAATGGCTTTGCCCAGGAGACCTCAACCGTGTATGCCATTATCAAGACAGAGACAGTGTCTGGAACGGCGGAAATATTTTACGGTGGCAAGGAAAAGGAACGTCCGGCTGTTATGTCCCCGACCAAATCAAATTCGGGACCCAATTCTTTGATGGGTTCACCCATTAAAACAGCCACATCACCACCTGTGGGCATTGTTTCACCCATACGTCGTCGTAGCTCTGAGATAAGTGTTAAATCCACGCCACCCATGTCACCGCCCCTGTCGGGTGGCAGTACCAATGCCAATTCTTCATCCAATTCACGGTCGATATCCTCAATTGCCAAAGGTGTGGCCCCCATTGCGTCACTGGATGAGGCCAATGATATACCGGCATTGCCGGAACGACCACCCCCAGCAACAGCTGCGGCCACAGTAAATAATATAAATTCCCTGGATTTGCAAGATCTGGAATATGCCGATACCAGTGCGGGTGAAGATGAGGAAGATCTAATGCGCACCATTGAAGGAGATGCCGACTTTGTTGACGACTTCTATGTGGAAGAAAAAATAAAGCCCTTGGTCCAGGAACCCGTGGAGACAACCGAATCAATTGGTCGAGAAGATAGTCTGCCGGATGATATGACCGCCTACGAAGCGGAGAGATTGTTGAGTTCAAGGTAAGTGAGGACAATTATGTTCCAAAAAATTAAAAAAATACCCAAAATGTATCCACAATTATCCAAAGTTATACTGTTGGGTTGCATTACCACTATTGTTATGGTAGGAAGGTGTAGAGAGCCATCAAAAATAGTGCTAAAGGTACTAATACGAAAAAGTAGAGCGATAATTTTAAAATTTGACATAAATGTCACTTTTGGGGTAAAAGGGATCGAAACTACGTTTCGTCAATAAAGATGGCCTTCAGCTCGACTCGATCGACTTAATTTCTTCTCTCCCATAATAGAGAAGGCCTCTACGGGGCCTTCTCCCCCATAGAAGAAAAGGCTTCTACGGGGTCTTCTCCCCCATAGAAGAGAAGGCCTCTACAGGGTCTTCTCCCCCATAGAAGAGAAGGCCTCTACGGGGCCTTCTCCCCCATAGAAGAGAAGGCCTCTACGGGGTCTTCTCCTCCATAAAAGAGAAGGTCTTTTGACGGCCTTCTCTCCCATAGAAGATAAGGCATTTTTAGGGTCTTCTCCCATTGAAGAGAAGGTCATTTTTGAGGGTCTTCTCACCTATAGAAGGAAAGACGTAATGAAGGGCTCTGTTATAGAAAACCTCGAAAAGGTCTTTTTTGTTATAGAAGATATCGAAAAGTTTGTCACTGCTGTTGAAGACCTCGATAAGGTCTTCTATGCTATAAAAGGCCTCGAGAAGGTCATCTCTGCTACAGAAGGCCTCGAGAAGTTCTTCTCGGCTATAAAAAGCCTCAGGAAGGTATTTTCCGCTATAGAAGCCATTGAGAAGATATTATCTGCTATAGAAGACCTCTAGAAAGTCTTGTATGCTATAGAATATATCGAGAAGGTCTTCTCTGTTATAGAAGATCTCGAGAAGGTCCTCTCTGTTATGAAAGTTATAGAGAAGGTTTTCAAAGCTGTAGAAGACCTCGATAAGGTCTTCGCTTCGCCCATCGACTTCAGCTCGTCTATATATAGATTCGATCGACATCATCTCGTCTGTATACCCTCGATCGTCTATAGAGATACGGCCTTCAGCTGGTCTATAGAGACACGGCCTTCAGCTGGTCTATAGAGACACGGCCTTCAGCTGGTCTATAGAGACACGGCCTTCAGCTGGTCTATAGAGACACGGCCTTCAGCTGGTCTATAGAGACACGGCCTTTCACCTGGTCTATAGAGACACGGCCTTTAGCTGGTCTATAGAGACCGCCTTCAGCTTCAACTTTTATAAAGGCGACCTTCGGCTCGTCTATAAAGGCGACCTTCGGCTCGTCTATAAAGACGAATTTCGGCTCGTCTATAAATACGACCTTCGGCTCGTCTGTAAAGACGACCTTCATTCGGCTCGTCTGTAAAGACGACCTTCATTCGGCTAGTCTATAAAGACGACCTTCATTCGGCTTGTCTATGAAGACGACCTCCTGTTCGTCTATAGAAACGTCTATTAAGAATAACTTCAGTTCATCTATAGATAAAGATAACATTCGGGTCGTCTTTTGTTTCGTCTGTGAAGAAGGTCTACGCCTCGTCTATAGGCTTGATTTCGCTTCGTCTATAAAGGCGCCCTTTAACTCGTCTTTCAAGTATCAATTTCAGTTCGTCTATGACGAGGGCTGCATAAAGACTCGAGCTTATTCTGGTGTCCTATGAATTATGATTTTAAAATGTTGAGTAATTTATCAAATGTTCCCTCATTTTAAAGAATATGAACCTTTTTAGGTCAATTTTGGCAAAATCCCTCACTTTTTAAATATTCTGGACCCCTTAACAATATGTATTTTCAAGCAACTTTCTCTGTGTCGCTTTTCCGGAAATTTGTCTTGTGGATTAATTAACTTCCTCTGCCTCTTCTCATCCTGAGGCCATATTCAGGCAAATTTCACTTGTACTCTCGTCCAGATTTCTATGCAATGTGGTTACATTTTGTATCCATCTGTATTTGTGTGTGTGTGTGTTAAATAAACATAATTTTGATAACTATTTATCCGAGAAAAGAGTCTATTATGTTAACCATGTGTAGTTGTGTGCTTGCCTGTGTGTGTGGTTATTTTTTAGCCACATCTAGGCTTTTTGGTGGATTTTCAATGGGATCTTTACTTCCTTGTGGTTTTTGTTTTATCTCTTTCTCTGTGTCAAGAATGCCATGAATTACATGGATGGAATCTGATAGTCAGTTCACCACAAGAAAATAACCACTGAGACAATGAGGCAGTCAGTCAGTCAGTCGGTTCGACGATAACACATTCTATGCTGTTCTGTTGATTTAACCTGTTGGCCTATTGCTTGGCGAGAATGCCGACGACACTTTCCCTCCCTCAAAGACCAGACACAAATGTGGCAAAGGAATCTTTGTTATCTCCGTTTTATTTCTCGAGATATGAATGAAAAGAATGTGGGTGTGTGCGTGTAGGTTTGTGGTCCGTGTTGAAATCGTCTATGTGTTAGTGGGTTTTTTTCCTTTTACAGGAAATGGTTGTATGTTTGTTTGCCATCACTTTGATTTTCTTCCATTTGATTGTTGCTGGAGGGGGGCGGGGTAGGGAGGGAGGGGAGGTGTATACAATCAAAAGTTTTGCAATAGTTGCCAGTTTTACATTGTTTGTTTTTCTTTTTCCCACTTTTTCTCAGCCTCAAGTCCATGCTGGAAACTCAGTCTCGGTATGACTTTTGCATTGCCCAATGAAAAATACATTTTCCAAATGCATAGAAGCATTTTCCTGATGCCGAGGGAAAATATTTTCTTTTTTTTCTCTTTTTGCATCTCCAAATGAAAGTTGTAATTTTCAAATTCCGTCTCGGCATGAACGACAAATAAATTAGTGAGAATAAATGGTCAAGGCGTCAATGTTCTGTGTGCAGCCTGGCAAATTCATTCAAAGCTGTTGATTGGCCACATGGGGATGGAAGCCGGGGGGAAATAGGTAAAAAGTTTGTGAACAACTTTATATGGCAACATGTTATTTTTGACAGTTTTTACACCTGTTTTACAACAACATGTGGCGTTAAGTTGTATTTGTTTGTGGCAAGTTGCTAGGAAAACTGCTTATAGTTTGGAAGTATGGAAATTGAAATCATTGGGGGGTTTGGTTAAGATGAATTTTAAAGGAAATGACTGGTCTTTTAAAATATAGAACTTCAAATCACTCAAACAAACTTCTCTAGACTATAGACTTCCTATAGGCCAGTTTAAGGCAGTTTCTAGAGACCAGCTTAAAAAGGTCTACATAAAGACCAGACTTCAGCTGATCTTTATAAAGCCTGGGACCTTCAGCTGGCCTATATAAAGACAGACGTCTTCAGCTGTCCTAAATAAAGATTGAGGCCTTCAGCTGGCCTGGATAAAAACTGGAGCCTTTAACTGGTCTATATAAAGGCCAGACTTCCGCAAATGTTTATAAAGATCAGACTTCTTCTGACCCATAGGAGCCAGACTCCTTTCAGAAGCTCTATAGAGACCAGACTCCCTTCAGATGGTTTATAGAGAGACCATACTCCCTGCAGCTGGTGTATGGATACCAGACTTAAGCGGATCTACAAATATCAGAAGACTTCAACTGGTCTACAGAGAGCAGAAGACTTTAGCTGGTCTACAGGGTGGGATAAAAAACTGCAACAAAGTCCAACGCCATAATTTTTACATTTTTGTTTTTAATTTGATTGAATGATAACCAAAAATGTCGGAAATAGCTTCAAATTTTAGAATAAATTTAGATTTGTTCGAATTGGTCACCTTAGGCACGAAATATTGGCCTTCAAACGGTCAATGAAACCGTCACATGCTACCCGAATATTGCTCTGCGGTATTTTGGCCCATTTCCGGCGAAGCGCTTGAGGTGATCGACACTTTGGTATTTTTTAGTGCCAACCTTGCTTTCCAAAATACTCCAGACACAACAGTCCAACGGATTGGTATCCGGAGATTTTGGTGACCATTGTGCGCTGGAAATGAAGCGAGGAACCACAGTTTGTAACCGTTCATGGGTGGTCCGTGCTTCAGAGTCCTGTTGGAATGTCCAAGGTCTGCGGCCAAAATGTTTGCGTGCCCAAGGCTTTAATACACCCTCCAGAATATTTTCGCGATAATATTCGGCATTTATTCTGATGCCACGGTCGATTAATACGAGCGGAGAGCGACCATCGGCTGCTATGCTGGCCCATACAATCATCATGGCCGGCACTTGAGTTCTGGTGGCCAACCGACGAAGGTGCACATTGTCAGCTGACCTCTTTGGCAAGTGGAAACACGATCATTTTGTTTGTGTACAAACTGCTGAACCACGAATGTTTTCTTATCGGAGAAAGCCGAATTTGGCAGTTCACCACTTTCGGCCAAGCGGAGCAACACTTGACCTCTTTTTAGTCTAATTTCTTTCTGTTGCGGTGTAAGTTCTTGCACCTTTTCAGAATTTCAATGGCTTTACCCCGAGCTCTTTTTTTGATATTTGTCGAATGGAATATTGCGATATGTTCAACTCACGAGCCATTTTTCGGTCACTGCGACGGGGGTTTCGATCAAGTCCCTTCTTTATTTTTCGAACAATTTCTGCTGATGTTGCTGTTTTCTTTCGTCCACTGCCTTGATGTCGGACTACGCTGCCAGTATCACGATAACGAGCGATGGTATGAAACACAAAAGATTTATTCACATTTAAATGCTGGAGTGTTCTAACGATAGCCACTTGTGGTTTTCCAACCAACTATCAGAAGAAATCACACTATCACGCTTGGATTCCATCAGGAATACCTCTTGTTTTGGAAAATTCTCACCAAAATGCTTTTGTACGCTTGTAAACAGTATAATGAGCTGTCACTGGAATAATCTTAACAGCTGTCGGATGAGTGGCTTAGAAATGACAATAGTCTGAAGTTGGTTGCAGTTTTTGCATCTTACCCTGTATATAAGGACCGGACTATAGGTGAGGGAAGTCTTTATAAACAGGTCTCCCTTCAGTTTTCTATAGAGACCAGACTCCATTCAGCTGGTCTATAGAGAT